CCCCCCCCAAAAAACGTACCCCCCCCCCCCTCCCCAACGAAGAAGTCCCCCCCATCCTTCCCACAAGAAGTCCCCACCTCCGCTCAAGACGAGGTTCCCTTCACCTCACAGGAAGAGCTCTCCTCCTTCACCCAAGACGAGGTCGCCTCCCCCTCACAAGAAGTAACTGCAGTGAACGAAAGTCTATGACAATGTTTGTCACCATCCCACCAGGTACTTCGACTCTGAAGTGTGCTCGAATACAATGTCTCTCCAAAACCCAATCAACCTGGGATTACGGCGCTTTTGGTTCCCAGGCCTTCAATAATATTTGCCATGGAACCTCCGCATTAATCTGTTTGCCCACCATCCACCCCCTATTCCAAACTCGTCCTTTGCATGGATGCAGGCGCGTCAAGTGCCTTTCCTGCATCCACTCACTGGGCTTCTGTGTACACTACTCTTGTCCACAGTGTAACCCAAGATGATGCATAGGCAAGAGACAGACGCACGTGCCCCGGCTTATATTATCGATGGCTCTTCACCTCAGGGACCTGTCAAAGGACAGAGTCCCCACCCTCACCCCTCGTCATGTCCAGTACGCCGTCAAATATGGTATGGCAGCTTTGCATGTATCATGGGATGATGCAAGTATCAACATTCATACGTCACAAACAAGGATCACCCTCTGGCATGCGCCAGTTGCCATCACGCTTGTTCCCAAGAGGGTCCTGTCGTGCAAAGCTGCTGCATACCCATGGCAGAATCTTGGGACCTCCCAAAGGGAAGAGTGATGGGCACTGCACTTTTATGACTCATGATCACCCCACGGACTCAAGCACTGCTAAGATTGGAGTACCTCGTGTATGTTTGGCGTTGTTAGGACTTGCGAGTTTGTCTTGCACGGCTTGTGGTCATTCATGGAGGACTGGCACTCCTAGTGCTGTGGACAGTTGGTCACTCTCGGTGATTGCGGAGACAACCTGTTAGTTCCGCCTCCCCCGAGTCTCAATCTTGTGCATGGGCCCCAGCATCGCGCTCGGGTGGCACGACCAGTGCGCTCTGGGCGTATGGGGGCTTCACCGACACCAACACCGATCCGCAAGGGCAAGCGGGGTGGGGCGACATGACCCACTCGCCCCTGGACCCCGTCAGCCCGATGGCGTATCGCGAGGGCGCATATCGATGGCGGGGCAGTCTCCCACTTACCTGTCCGCCGCCCTCCCCGAGTACCGGGCCAAACTCCCGGCCTTCTCGGTATGGCCCGGCAGGGCTAAGGTGGCCCTGCAGACGGGGGCTTACATCGGCCTGGCGGGACTGCTCCTCTTCGCCAAGCCTGGACTCTTCCCCATCATCTTTGAGACGGAGTGAGTGGTGGGCGGGGCTACGTACAGCATCGGAGCGACCCTGGCGGTATCTCCCTTACCAGCCCTGACCTCCCAGGCATGCATGCTGCGGCCGGGGGCGCCGCCCCCCTCCCCTCACGATCTGGGGCTCGCCATCGCTGTGCAGGGTCGCCAGGGGCTACGTCCGTGTGGGCGCCACGCTGGCAGTGCTGTTCGGCGCCTACTACCTGGGAGCTGCCTGTGACGACGCGGCGGGTAGGCCTCCCCTGTTCATGTACGCCGCCACGGTCGCGGGCCGGGGGCTCCTCTCCGTGGCCTTCTGCTGGCTGGTGTGGAGCGGGCAGTGCGCCGTGCCCCTGCTGTGGCTGGCGGGCCTGAACGCCCTCAGCGCGGCTCGACTCTTGCGGGCGCTGATCCGGCCGGACGGCGCCCCGGCCGGGTAGGTGGGGTCTGTGCTGAGTTGGCAGGCCCGGAGGGAGGGCCGACGGGGCCCCGAGCAAGATGCCTTGGGGCTGTATGGAAAGGATGGCGACGCCTGGCCGCCACGCGTGCAGCGTGTACCCGCGCCTCTCGACCATGCTGCCCTGCCCCGGGCCGGCTGCCCTCAGGCCGAGACCCTAGGAATGGTTTCAGTCTCTTGCCAGCCGCCAGCTGCTGTGCGGAGTCCTGAGCCTTGGTGCGGGCTGCCCCCCCCACCCACTCCTTTTATTGATCCAGGCCTTGACCAACACACCCAGTGCCAGTGTATGTGGCATGAGGAGTGCAGGGCATCTGCGATCCTCGTCACCTTTCAGTCATGACTACTGGCATCCTGGCACTGTGGGATGAGGCGGCAGGAAACTTCCTGCAAACCGTTGGGGCAACTCATGCATGTGCCGCTGCTGCTGATGTCACAGCTATCATCTCATCCTGTACCTGGATCGTGTACCAGTGACACTCGGCGCTGCCTGGACACACTTATGCCTTGGAGTGTGTGGGCGCCACCTGCCAATGCTTTGGGAGCTCAAACAGGTTGCCTCACCCCGTTTGGCTGCAATTCAAAGGACATTCATCCTACATGGTAGTATGCACGCCTTTCGCAAAGATGCAATTGACGATTGAGGACTCTAGGAGTTACCTCTGTGATGTTGTTGGGTGAAGGCTCCATGACCGGATCTACAAACCCCTCGCAAGGCATCCCGAGAACTGGCAGTCAAGAGGAGGAGCAGGCCCACCACCTACAACAACACTGTACGTGACAGCCGAATCACCTGCTCTGTTCTCCTGCGTGAACGCGCACATTGATGCTGGCCACCTCCCCAGAGTGACTCTGGTCGTTCGGGTTCTAGCCCCAGCGGCTGCGCTGAAGTAAGAGGAGGCACCAGCGATCCTCGGCTGCGCCGTAGTGGAATTGGCAAGCCATGGGAACCCCGAATCCGGAGGTCCTTAGGGCCGTCATCAGGTGAGAAAGGTGGAGCCTCCGGCGATGGCTCGTCGCACTCTCGCCGCGCAGGCCATCGAGCGCTCCTCGATCTGCGTGGCCCCATTCCTCTCGTTCCTCGCCACAGATCCTACAGCTATGTGGTGCTGTGGATGTCCATCTCCATCTCCGTCATCCTCTTCAACAAGTGGTGCGCCTGCGTCCGGGCCGGGCACCCCAACCCCTGCACCCCTGCCCACCCCTTGCAACCCTCCACCTTGGTCTGCCCTATTGCTCCCCGCACGCCCCTCCAGAGGCCCCAGCCCCTCCATCCACAGGTTGCTCGCCTTCGCCGGGTTCCCCTTCCCCATTGCCCTCACCATGTGGCACATGGCTTTCTGCTCTGCGGTGGGCTTCTTCTGCATCAGGGTCCTGGGCGTCACCAAGACGCATAACCTGAGCGTGGAGGAGTACTGCAGACGCGTCCTGCCAATCGGTGCGTTGCCGATGCTGGCCATGAGATGCTACCCTAGGGGCCGCGGTCCCGTGCTGAGCTGTCAGTGCCCCAAGGGCGACCCGCCACTCGTTCGGCCGGTGCTCCTCCCATGCGCCTGTTTCTCACCACATCACCACACCTATGAAAACCCCGCCCTCCCCCTCCCGACGCCCCCCCTCACCTCTCTTCCTCCCCCCAACCCCTTCCACCTGCATCCAGGCATGCTGTACGCGGCGTCCCTCTGGCTTAGCAACTCCTCCTACCTCTACCTCTCCGTGTCCTTCATCCAGATGACCAAGTCGCTGATGCCCGGCCTGGTCTACGCCTGTGGCGTGGCGCTGGGCACCGAGACCTTTGCCGCCGGCTCTGCGCTCAACATGCTGCTCATTGCCGCGGGCGTGGTGGTGTGCGCGGTGGGGGAGGCCAACCTGGTGGTAAAGGGTCTGGTGCAGCAGCTCGCCGCCCTGCTGTTTGAGGTGGGCAGCGGATAGGGCTTTCTCTTTTGAGGGAGGGGAGGGGAA